TTTGTTTTTAAAAAAAAAAACATGTCTGTAACCTGCTTGGTGTAAATGTTTTGCACAGAACGGCCCCGATCCTCCTCTTCTTGGGTTCTGTGCCGGCGCTCTTGGCTCCTCCCCCTTGACCAGGCAGTGCCCCCAATAGCAAGCCATTTTCTATGGGGGCACTAGTGTTTGATCGCTCCCGAGCCCAGCTCTATGCGTTCATATGATACATAGAACCGTGGGTATGCTTCTGGCGCCACTCAAGGCTGACAGCAAATGAAAATCACCTCGCCGGCAGAGAAAAGAAGATGGGAGCAAAGTCTCAAGTAACTCCAGAAACTTGCAACTGAAGATGGACACCGCTCAAACTGATCCCCAGGAGTCAGAGAGGAACAGGATGTAGTAGGATGGCCTCAGCCGTCACTCTGGCCATGCCCTCTAATGCGTTTCACCAAGCCCCCTATGGGTGGGACGAAACGCATCAGAGGGCATGGCCAGAGTGATCGCTGAGGCCATCCTACTACAGCCTGTTCCTCTCTGACTCCTGGGGATCGGTTTGAGTGTTGTTCATCCTCATCTACATATGACACAGAACCATGGCTCGGACCTGCTCCCCACTCTCATTGGCTCACTGGCTGTGATTGACAGCAGTGGGAGCCAACGGCTCTGGCTGTGATTGACAGCAGTGGGGGCCAACGGCTCTGGCTGCTGTGTTTCAGCCAATAAGGAGAGAGACCCAGGACAGCTGAGGCTCCCATGCACATCGCTGGATTGAGAGGGGGCTCAGGTGAGTATTGGTGGGATCTGTGGGGGGAGCAGCCACAGAAGAAGCCTTTACAGCCACTTGAAATCTCTGCAACACAACCTGCACTACCGACTGCACTGCTGCTTAAATATTTGCGCCACAGCAGAACAGTCTGTCAAAGCTGCCAACTGAAGTTAACAGGTTTGTAGCACAACCATGAGCTTGCAGTTCCAGCGCAAAATTTCTATACAAAATGCTTGTATAGCTGAAAAAAAAAACACTTAGGAGGCTAGAGGATTGCCACAATCCTCTCTTCTGGGGTCCCCACCAGCTGTCTTGGCTCCTCCTCCCATCTAAGTGCCCCCATAGCAAGCTGTTTGTTATGGGGGCAGGCGTGCAGGCTTGTTCCTGAGCCGGGCCATGAGCATCTGTTGACACAGGAGCTCAGTGATGTCCTGGCCCAGATCTGGGAGGAAATACCCCAGAACATCATCCGTCGTCTTATTAGGAGCCTCCCCCGACGTTGTCAGGCATCATACAAGCACGTGGGGGCCATACAGACTACTGAGGACCATTCTGAGTTGCTGCAATGAAATTTCAGCAAAATGGATTCACCTGCTGCATCATTTTTTAACTTTAATTTACGGGGTGTCTTTGAATTCAGTCCTCTGTAGGTCGATAATTTTAATTTCCATCAAACGATGGGGCCATCCTTACATTCCTAACACATTACCCCGTCCATGTCAGTATAGAGATCCAGCAGCAGATTTTTTCCCATTGAGATCTGATGTGTTTTCAAAGCGTTCCTTTATTTTTTTTGAGCAGTGTGTATATATCCATAATAAACCAAATATTTTAAGCAACAGACAGCATGGATTCATGAAAGACAGAAGTTGTCAAACAAATCTGATTTCTTTTTATAAGGAGGTGAGTAAAACCTTGGACAGAGAGTGGCGGTGGATGTGGTATACTTGGACAGAGGTGTGGCTGTGGACGTGGTATACATGGAAAGAGGGGTGGCGGTGGACGTGGTATACTTGGAAAGAGGGGTGGCGGTAGACGTGGTATACTTGGACAGAGGGGTGGCGGAGGATGTTGTATACTTGGACAGAGGGGGGCGGTGGACGTGGTATACTTGGAGATAGGGGTGGCGGTGGACATAGTATAAAGCAGAAAAAGAAAGCGCCAAACAATAATATCAATCCTATTAAGCAGCAAACCTCTGACCCAAAAAATGGTGTAAACATAAAAAATCAAAAATCGGAATGCGCTAAATTATATCAAAATTACATATGTTGTGCTAAAACCAAACCACCATAAATTCAATATATAATGCAAAAATCCCAAGTGCAGCAGTCCATCAATTAATTAGTGCAAAAAGTCCAACATCTCAAAGAAATTTCTTCTTAAACGTGAAAATACACCGTGCTTAATCCACCACCAGATGAATGGAATAAACTCACCAGAGCTCAATGCTGATCAAATTATAAATCAGCACAAGCGTATTTGCTCTGGGAGCGATGAGAGAATCCAAATCATGAAGCACCACTCTGTAGCTTGAAATCATCCAGACACCAGGAGCAATACTCTGCAGCCACTCTGAAGTATGGCCAAGACCACTCTATATGTCGATCATCCTCCACATAATATGGCAATATCACTCAGAAATAAAGGAAAGGCATGATGGTGCAGTAAATCAAAAGCATTTATATTTATTAAAATCTCATCTTACTCACAAAACAAGTGTCCCCCTGACACTGGTATAAAAAGCGGCAGAATGCAAAGAATGGACAAACTCCGTTCACCGCGGACACACCTCGCCGACAGCTACAGGGAACGTCCTGACGTCATCCAATAGGGAGCCTATTGGATGACGTCAGGACGTTCCCTGTAGCTGTCGGCGAGGTGTCCGCGGTGAACGGAGTTCGTCCATTCTTTGCATTCTGCCGCTTTTTATAGGCGGAGCCTATTGGATGACGTCAGGACGTTCCCTGTAGCTGTCGGCGAGGTGTCCGCGGTGAACGGAGTTCGTCCATTCTTTGCATTCTGCTGCCGCTTTTTTATAGGCGGAGCCTATTGGATGACGTCAGGACGTTCCCTGTAGCTGTCGGCGAGGTGTCCGCGGTGAACGGAGTTCGTCCATTCTTTGCATTCTGCCGCTTTTTATAGGCGGAGCCTATTGGATGACGTCAGGACGTTCCCTGTAGCTGTCGGCGAGGTGTCCGCGGTGAACGGAGTTCGTCCATTCTTTGCATTCTGCCGCTTTTTATAGGCGGAGCCTATTGGATGACGTCAGGACGTTCCCTGTAGCTGTCGGCGAGGTGTCCGCGGTGAACGGAGTTCGTCCATTCTTTGCATTCTGCCGCTTTTTATAGGCGGAGCCTATTGGATGACGTCAGGACGTTCCCTGTAGCTGTCGGCGAGGTGTCCGCGGTGAACGGAGTTCGTCCATTCTTTGCATTCTGCCGCTTTTTATAGGCGGAGCCTATTGGATGACGTCAGGACGTTCCCTGTAGCTGTCGGCGAGGTGTCCGCGGTGAACGGAGTTCGTCCATTCTTTGCATTCTGCCGCTTTTTATAGGCGGAGCCTATTGGATGACGTCAGGACGTTCCCTGTAGCTGTCGGCGAGGTGTCCGCGGTGAACGGAGTTCGTCCATTCTTTGCATTCTGCCGCTTTTTATACCAGTGTCAGGGGGACACTTGTTTTTGTGAGTAAGATGAGATTTTAATAAATATAAATGGTTTTGATTTACTGCACCATCATGCCTTTCCTTTATTTCTGAGTGATATTGCCATATTATGTGGAGGATGATCGACATATAGAGTGGTCTTGGCCATACTTCAGAGTGGCTGCAGAGTATTGCTCCTGGTGTCTGGATGATTTCAAGCTACAGAGTGGTGCTTCATGATTTGGATTCTCTCATCGCTCCCAGAGCAAATACGCTTGTGCTGATTTATAATTTGATCAGCATTGAGCTCTGGTGAGTTTATTCCATTCATCTGGTGGTGGATTAAGCACGGTGTATTTTCACGTTTAAGAAGAAATTTCTTTGAGATGTTGGACAGTTGGCACTAATTAATTGATGGACTGCTGCACTTGGGATTTTTGCATTATATATTGAATTTATGGTGGTTTGGTTTTAGCACAACAATATGTAATTTTGATATAATTTAGCGCATTCCGATTTTTGATTTTTTTAGGTGGACATAGTATACTTGGACAGAGGGGGGCGGTGGACATGGTATACTTGGACAGAGTGGCGGCGGTGGACGTAGTATACTTGGACAGAGGGGCGGCGGTGGACGTGGTATACTTGGAGAAAGGGGTGGCGGTGGACGTTAGTATACTTGGTCAGAGGGGGGCGGTGGACGTGGTATACTTGGACAGAGGGGCGGCGGTGACGTGGACGTGGTATACTTGGACAGAGGGGGTGGCGGTGAACGTGGTATACTTGGACAGAGGGGTGGTGTGGTGGTATACTTGGACAGAGGGGTGGTGGTGGACGTGGTGAACTTGGAGAAAGGGGTGGCGGTGGACGTAGTATACTTGGTCAGAGGGGGGGGGCGGTGGACGTGGTATACTTGGACAGAGGGGCGGCGGTGGACGTGGTATACTTGGACAGAGGGGTGGCGGTGGTATACTTGGACAGAGGGGCGGCAGTGGACTTGGTATACTTGGAGAAAGGGGTGGCGGTGGACGTAGTATACTTGGTCAGAGGGGGGCGGTGGACGTGGTATACTTGGACAGAGGGGCGGCGGTGGACGTGGTATACTTGGACAGAGGGGTGGCGGTGAACATGGTATACTTGGACAGAGGGGTGGTGGTGGTATACTTGGACAGAGGGGTGGTGGTGGACGTGGTGAACTTGGAGAAAGGGGTGGCGGTGGACGTAGTATACTTGGTCAGGGGGGCGGTGGACGTGGTATACTTGGACAGAGGGGCGGCGGTGGACGTGGTATACTTGGACAGAGGGGTGGCGGTGGTATACTTGGACAGAGGGGCGGCAGTGGACTTGGTATACTTGGAGAAAGGGGTGGCGGTGGACGTAGTATACTTGGTCAGAGGGGGGGGCGGTGGACGTGGTATACTTGGACAGAGGGGCGGCGGTGGACGTGGTATACTTGGACAGAGGGGTGGCGGTGGAACGTGGTATACTTGGACAGAGGGGTGGTGGTGGTATACTGACAGAGGGGTGGTGGTGGTATACTTGGACAGAGGGGCGGCAGTGGACGTGGTATACTTGGACAGAGGGGTGGTGGTGGTATACTTGGACAGAGGGGCGGCAGTGGACGTGGTATACTTGGAGAAAGGGGGGGCGGTGGACGTAGTATACTTGGTCAGAGGGGGGCGGTGGACGTGGTATACTTGGACAGAGGGGCGGCGGTGGATGTGGTATATACTTGGACAGAGGGGTGGCGGTGAACGTGGTATACTTGGACAGAGGGGTGGTGGTGGTGTACTTGGACAGAGGGGTGGTGGTGGACGTGGTGAACTTGGACAGAGGGTTGGCTGTGCATGTTGGTATACTTGGACAGAGGGGGGCTGTGCATGTGGTATATTTGGACAGAGGGGTGGCTGTGGATGTGGTATACTTGCACAGAGGGTGTGGTGTGGTGGTGTACTTTGGACAGAGGGGTGGTGGTGGACGTGGTATACTTGGACAGAGGGGTGGTGGTGGACGTGGGATACTTGGTGCTGGTACTTGGACAGAGGGGTGGTGGTGGATTTGGCAAAAGCTTGGTACACTTGCTACAGAGGGGTGGTGGTGGACGTGGTATACTTGGACAGAGGGGTGGCTGTGGACGTGGTATACTTGGATTTTGCAAAAGCGTTTGACACAGTTCCCCACACACAGCTAATGTGTAAGGTAAAGGCTACAGGCTTGGAAAATCTGTATGTAAATGGATAGAAAACTGGCTAAAAGATCATATTCAGAGACTAGTGGTTAATGATTCATACTCTGAACGGTCTAGGGGTGTCAGTGGTGTACCCCAAGGTTCAGTGTTGGGACCCTTACTTTTTAATATATTTATAAACAATATAGGGTCTGAGATTATAAATCCCCATTTCAGTCTTTGCAGATGACACCGAGCTGTGCCGGGGAATAACGTCCTTACAGGATGTCTCCAATTTACAAGCCGACTCAATGCTCTGTGTAATTGGGGGACTATGGTGACAGTGAGGTTTAATGTTGATAAATGTAAGGTTCTGCACTTGGGGGCTAAGAATATGCATGCATCATACATACTAGGGGGGTACAACTGGGGGGGTCAATGGTGGAGAAGGATCTGGGGGGGTCAATGGTGGAGAAGGATCTGGGGGGAATCAATGGTGGAGAAGGATCTGGGGGGGTCAATGGTGGAGAAGGATCTGGGGGTTCTGATAACAAGCTTAATAATGGCATGCAATGCCAAGCTGCGAGTTCTAAATCGAGCAAAATCCTCTCTTGTATTATAAGAAGTATAGACTCCAGAGAGAGAGATATCATTCCCCCCGATACAAATCATTAGTAAAAGCTCATCTGGAATATGCAGTTCAGTTTTGGGCACCAAATCACAAATAGAACATTGGGGAACTGGAGAAAGTACAGAGAAGGGCAACTAAACTGATAAGAGGCATGGAGGAGATCAGCTATGAGGAGAGATTAGAGGAACTGAATGTATTCTCTACTGAGAAGAGGAGATTAAGGGGGGATATGATCTCCATGTATAATACATAAGGGGGATATGATCTCCATGTATAATACATAAGGGGGGATATGATCTCCATGTATAATACATAAGGGGGGATATGATCTCCATGTATAATACATAAGGGGGGGATATGATCTCCATGTATAATACATAAGGGGGGATAGATATGATCTCCATGTATAATACATAAGGGGGGATATGATCACCATGTATAATACATAAGGGGGGGATATGATCTCCATGTATAATACATAAGGGGGGATATACTCTCCATGTATAATACATTAGGGGGGATATGATCTCCATGTATAATGCATAATGGGGGATATGATCTCCATGTATAATACATAAGGGGGGGATATGATCTCCATGTATAATACATAAGGGGGGATATACTCACCATGTATAATACATAAGGGGGATATGATCACCATGTATAATACATAAGCGGGGATATGATCTCCATGTATAATACATAAGGGGGGGATATGATCTCCATGTATAATACATAAGGGGGGACATAATCTCCATGTATAATACGTTAGGGGAGTATATGATCTCCATGTATAATACATAAGGGGGATATGATCTCCATGTATAATACATAAGGGGGGGATATGATCTCCATGTATAATACATAAGGGGGGGGTATGATATGATCTCTATGTATAATACATAAGGGGGATATGATCTCCATGTATAATACATAAGGGGGGATATGATCTCCATGTATAATACATAAAGGGGGGACATAAGAGGGGATATACTCTCCATGTATAATACATTAGGGGGATATGATCTCCATGTATAATACATAAGGGGGGATATGATCTCCATGTACATAATACATAAGGGGGGATATGATCTCCATGTATAATACATAAGGGGGGATATAATCTCCATGTATAATACATTAGGGGGATATGATCTCCATGTATAATACATAAGGGGGGATATGATCTCCATGTATAATACATAAGGGGGGATATGATCTCCATGTATAATACATAAGGGGGGATAATGATCTCCATGTATAATACATAAGAGGGGGAAATAAAAGGGGGGATATGATCTCCATGTATAATACATAAGGGGGGATATGATCTCCATGTATAATACATAAATACGATCTCCATGTATAATACATAAAAAAAATAAGAGGGGATATGATCTCCATGTATAATACATAAGGGGGGACATAAGAGGGGATATGATCTCCATGCACAATGTATAATACATAAGGGGGGGATATGATCTCCATGTATAATACATAAGGGGGGATATGATCTCCATGTATAATACATAAGGGGGGATATGATCTCCATGGGGGGGGATATGATCTCCATGTATAATACATAAGGGGGGATATGATCACCATGTATAATACATAAGGGGGGATATGATCACCATGTATAATACATAAGGGGGGATATGATCTCCATGTATAATACATAAGGGGGGGGATATGATCTCCATGTATAAAATACCAGGGGGGATATGATCACCATGTATAATACATAAGGGGGGATATGATCTCCATGTATAATACATAAGGGGGGGATATGATCTCCATGTATAATACATAAGGGGGGATATGATCTCCATGTATAATACATAAGGGGGATATGATCTCCATGTATAATACATAAGGGGGGGATATGATCTCCATGTATAATACATAAGGGGGGGATATGATCTCCATGTATAATACATAAGGGGGATATGATCACCATGTATAATACATAAGGGGGGAAATGATCTCCATGTATAATACATAAGGGGGATATGATCTCCATGTATAATACATAAGGGGGGATATGATCTCCATGTATAAATACATCAGTGGTTCATATAGTGAACTCGATGTAGAGTTATTCACCCTGAGGTCATCACAGAGGACAAGGGGGCACTCTTTTACATCTGGTGGAAAATAAATGTAATCTCCAAACACGGAAAGGTTTCTTCACAGTAAGAGCTGTGAAAATGTGGAATAGACTCCCTCAAGAGTTGGTTCTGGCCAGCTCAGTGGATTGCTGTAGGAAAGTCCTGGATTCTTTCTTGGATACATAGAATATAACTGGATATAACATTTATAGGTAAAGTTGATCCAGGGAATATCTGATTGCCTCTCGGGGATCAGGAAGGAATTTTTTCCCCTGCAGGAGCAAATTGGATCATATTTGCTGGGTTTTTTGCCTTCCTCTGGATCAAACTGTGGGTGTAGGATTATAACTTTTTTTTTTTTTTTTGATGGTTTGAACTGGATGGATTTTTGTCTTTTTTCAGCCAAACTTTGTAACTATGTATGTATACAGTACATATCATTTCACTGCGTGAAAAATTAGGACTCCCACTACATGACCTAGATTGTAAGCTTGAAAGAGCAGGGCCCTCGATCCCCTCATGTTTTGCATTGTATTGGTTTGTTCTGTCACATGTTCTGTCCCCCTTTGTAATGTACAGCGCTGAGCGAACTATTGGCGCTTTATAAATAGTATAATAATATAATAATAATAATGTCTACCTGATGCTATCTGCTGCAGATAAGTGAGTATTGAACACTGTATCTCCACGCTCATGAACATAAAAAAACTCATTTAAAATGCTGAAACCCCACATGACATATGACCAATGGTAAAAGAATAGGCAGACAAAAAATACAATGCAAATTAATAATATGTATCTAAAAAGGAACATATAGGTGGGAAAATTTGTAGGCCCACAAAAACACCCAGCTTTGTGTAAAGTGAGGGTGAAGTGCCCCCCCGATGGCCGGACCCTGAATGTGCCCCAGTCTGAGTGATCACTCATAGGGATAGACAAAAAAAAAAAGAGTTTTCCCCGAAATCCCAAAATTTAAAAAAAAAAAAGTTCTCATTTTTATAAAATACATTGAAGTCAGTGGGAAAAGGCGAAATTAAGATGTTTTTTGTTGGTTTTTAAGGGTGCAATGAGTTTTAAATGGCTCTGTCTTGAAGGGTTTGGAAGCTCCTTTCAACCGTCTTGAACTTGTTCTTGTGTCATAAAATAAACCTTCGTTACCCACAATATTTAAACGTTTCACAAAAAGAAAAAAAAAAGACAAAATAAGAACAGTCAAATGTAAAAAGTCAATAAGAAAATCAAATACACAAAAAATGTGAAGGAAAGCAAACAAATACAAACAACACCTGAAATAAAACTAAACTATCCTAAAAACAGCCAATAAAGTTTTGCCAGCAACTTCACCTAAATAAGTTAGTATTAGGGCAAGTAGTATGAGCACACGCCTAAAAGTGAGTGGGACCATAGATACATATATGCATACATCCAACTCCAGTTTTCAGTAAAGTGATGGTGAAGCGCCCCCCATTGGCCGGACCTTGGATGTGCCCGTGTGGATGGTTCATCATCGGCTTTCCTTGCCTAAGTCCCTCTCTCCCTCCTGGCTGGCAGTGACTGGGGCCACTTCCCAGGTGAGCTGTAGAGCTGGCTGTGACAGTTGATAAAGGGAAGTTGGAAATAGACTGAGATAAGCCACAGAGGAGATAAGATAGCCGAGTCTGACGTACAATGCCAAGCCCAATTCCCTGTGATCCCATCCATACAACGGGAGGCCGACCATATTTTACATGACCACTTTGATGTTTTCAGTCCAAGTACAAAAAAAAAAAAAAAAGATATATATACTATTTTGCCAAAAGTATTAGGCCAGCCCTCCAAATCGTTGGATTCAGTTGTTCCATTCACCTCCATGGCCACAGGTGTATAAAATCATCACCTAGGAATGCAGACTGCTTCTACAAACATTTGTGAAAGAATGGTGAAAGAATGTAGAAGAAGCTCTCAGGCAGGGGCGGACTGACCATTCGAGCACTCAGGCACTGCCCGAGGGCCCGGGTCAGTAGGGGGCCCCATGAAATGCCCCTGGTACCTTTTTCATAGGCTTTTTTTAGTTAGGTGTGGGCAAGGACACAGGGGCCCCATGATCCCCTATTGCCCTGGGGGGGCCCCATGAGTTGTCAGTCCGCCCCCTGCTCTCAGGAGCTCAGTGAATCAAAGTCGCCAACTGTCAATAGCTAAAGACCTCCAAACTTGGTGTGGCCTTCAGATTAGCACAACAACAGTGCGTAGAGATCTTCATGG